CTGCTCCCCACCCAGATCAACAGTGATTTTGTGTCATTTTAATTTTTTGCCCTTAAATGCCCAGGCTAAGTGTAGCATCTATTTTGTAGCCCACTTGTTTCAGCAGAGGTGCTGATCATCCCCTGGATGAGACTTGTCATCTTCCTCTTCTCTGGCAGAGGTTGTTTGACCCACAGAGAAGTTTTGATTCACAAAGGAGAAAACTTCCTGATGAAATATTCAGATTGACCTAAGGAGTGAAAGGGAGCCAGCCTTATGATGAGTTGACATTTGCTTATAGTTGTAGGTTTCTACAGGATCCATTGTTTGGGTATTTCCTATTTTCCTATTTCCCTCTGCGATCTTACCCAGTCTCACTCCTTTAAATATCATTTGTATATTGTTGACTCTCAAATACTTACATTCTTACCCAACATCCCAGGTTCATATATCCAGCTGAATTCTCCATTATTTCTAATAGGCACCTTAAATTTAAAGTGTCCCAAATTTACTCCTTTCCCCAAATTTACTCCTATTACATACTTCTCCATCGGAGTAAATAACAGCTAGAGGCAACTCCAACCTTTCAGTTGTTCTTATTCCTCCCTTTCAGTCTGTTGGTAGATTCTGTTGGGTCTACTTTCAAACTTTACAAACGTCTCTGTTTCTACTCTTACTACAGTACCCCCCATTCTCCCCCCATATTCACAGAGTCTAGTTCATAGGTCATAGTTACGTCGTGGTTTTCTTCCCCTCCAAGCCCTCTAGTGATTCCTTGTCTAAGAGTCAAAGCTGAAGTCTTGACAGTGCCCACATGGCTCTCGGGGATCTGCTCCCCTTTCCTTTTGCTCTGCCTCAACCACACTGCTGTCTTGAACATTCTAGGCCTGCTCCCACCTTGGGGATCTTGCAATTACTGATCAGCTTAAAAAATTCTCCCCAGGTATGCACAGGGTTTGTTCCTTCTCATTCTGGTCTTCTCTCAAATGTTCAAATTCTCTTTTCTCAGCGAGGCCTTCCTTTACCCTTCTGTATAAAATTGGATTCCTCTACTTGGTGTTCCCTTTCATTTTCTCCTGTTTTTCCCTGTAAGGCTTCTTTTTCTAACCACTTCACATGTGTTTTTACTTATTTATTGCTTCTTTCTTCCCACTAAACTATAAGATGTACGAGGACAGAGTGGGGTTTTTGTCTTTTCGTTTTATTTACTATTGCAGTCCCAGCACAGAATGCTTCCTGAACATTGTAACCACATGATACATATTTTGAGCACCTGAATAGACGATATATTCCTAAAACCTTCTAGTGGGCATCTAGGTCCCTGGGCAGAGCTGGAGGCACCTGGCAACTGAAGAATGAATGTGGCCAGGCTTTTTGTGTCAGTTTGTTTATTTCCTAAGCTTGGATTCAGATGAGAGGCACAGAGATATAAGTTCCAAGTCAGAGACCTCAACTGGCCCACACAAGAGAAGCCAGCTACACTGGTATTTAAACCATTGTTTTAACAGGTGTTTTGAGTACTGGGCTTAGCAGATTTTAGTTTGAGACAAGTTTCTCAAAGGTTTGTTTCTGGTTTTTCATTTGTTTGTTTTGTTTCCTAATGTGCTAGGGATTGAACCCAGGGCCTCATACATACGAGACAAGCACTGTACCACTGAGCTACATCCTCAGCCCCCCTGCCACACACACCTTTTTGTTACCGGGAGTTGAACTTGGTAACAAATTTGAGGCAGGCAGTGGAACCACTGAGCTAAATCCCCAGCCCTCCTCAGCCCTTTTAAAATTTTATTTTGAGACAAGGTCTTGCTAAATTTCCCAGGCTGGCCTGGAACTTGCAATCCTCCTGCTCTAGCCTCCAAAGTAGCTGGGATTACAGGCATGTGCCATCATCCCTGCTCAAAGTATTGTCTTAATTTCATTTAGTGACATATGATTTTTAATAATTGTCCTCTTTTCTTTCATTGGTGGGTTGTGAGCTAGGAGAAGGTGGCTTTAGGATGGCAGTGTTTCAATGTTGATTGAAATACCTGGCCCCCACCTTTGGTTGAGGTCTGATGACAATAAGAAATTGGATTTGGTGTGTGTCATGATGGAAGAGAGTTTCCTCCTAACATACTGTTTAACAGTAGACAAGGAAATGTGAAATGTATCATTCTTACAGGATGGTCCTGTCCAAGTAATCCATTTTGTGAAAAGACATTTAGAAAAATTTTTATTAGAAATAAAGGTATATTCAGGAACCCGAAGGTATGAAAAACAAAAAGCTTGTTACAGAGTAATTTTTTTTTAAAGGGAAACTCATGAAAGTTAATTATTAAAATATGTATTTACTGGGGATGGTGTTGCATACTTGTAATTCTAGCACTTGGAAGGCTGAAGCAGGAGGATTTACACGAGTTTGAGGCCAGCCTGGGTTACACAGTGAGTTCCAGGCTAGCCTGAACTACATAGTGAGACCCTGTCTCAAAAAAAAAATGTATTTGTACAGTTATCCAACAAGAGAAACTACATAAATAAATCCTAAGAAAGTAGGGACATTTTTTAGAGGGAGGTGTGACATTTGTAATGAATTATAATTACTGTAATTTTTAAATTATCAGTGGTCACAAGGGAGCGAATTTTGAATGTACTGAGTAGTTAATAGTCTACAAAGATAAGCAAATTTGTCTTAAATAGAATTTCTTTCCTGAACTTAATGACCTGTTTGTTTATTAATCATTATTTTTCCTCATTAGCAGCTTCTAGCCACCATAAAGAGTACTAAGGTCTTCTAAAATGCTTTGTGTGTAATAGGCCCTCCATAAATAGTTTTCTGTGCTTTCTTCCTTCCTTGTTCTCATTTTAAGTTTCTTTCAAAAATGCATGTGTTGCTGGGGATTTAGTGGTTCCACTGGCTGCCTCAAAAGTGCAAGGTCCTGAGTTCGATCCTCAGTACCAAAAAAAAATTAAAAAGCGTGTGTTTTCTTCCTAAAGTAATGTGAATTATTAAAGAAAGTTTAGATTTAAAATGATGAAAAATGAGAACTTATCACCCAAACACAATCACGATCAACATTTTCATTAATCCCCCAGGGTTTCTCCCTATCCTATCCATTGCTTAATTTGAAAACTTTGGGCCTGGAGCAGATATTTATACACCCATGTTCATAACACTGTTATAACAGCTGAGAGGTGGAAACAGTCCAAGTGTCCCTCAGTGGATGAATGGGTGAAACAAAATCTGGTGTATATATAGAGTGGAATATTATTTAGCAATAAAAAGGAATGACACGGTGGTATGTGCTACAATGTGGATGAAACTTGAAGACATTATGCTAAGTGAAACTAGCCAGTCACAAAAGGAGTCTATTGAATAGGTCTTCTTATATACAGTACCCAGAGTGGTCAAATTAATAGAGACTAAGTAGAATGGTGGGTGGGGAGAAGGAGGAATAAGGAGTAGCTGTTTAATGGGTACAGAGTTCCAGCTGGGAAGGTTAGAAAGTGCTTAGGATGGGGGTTGCACAACATTGTGAAAGTACTCAGCGTCCCTGAAGTGGATGCCTAAGGTGGCCAAAGGAGTAGGTGGCATGTTCGTTATGTACACTTTACAACAACAACAAAAATCTTAGAGTTAAGACTGGGTGTGATGGCTTGCAGTTAGGGTCCTAGCTACCCAGGAGGCTGAGGTGGGAAGACTGCTTGAACTCAAGAGTTAGAAACAGCTGGGCAACAGAGACAAAGACAAAAACGAAACAAAACAAACTTTTAGTTATGAAAGCTATATATCCGTCTATGACAAAAAACCCTGAGAATAAAGGGTTTCGAATGGAAAGTAGAAGTCTTCTTATCTACCTCCCTTTCTGAGTTGAGCAACCCAGAGATTAGCCATTTCGACCAGCTTCATATTTCTGCTTACACTGTACCTGACAGCAGGACCCAGCAATTTCCCTTCTTTAACTTTTGATAGCCATGGACCCTTGGGCAGCTGAGAGTCCAGTTTGGCTCACACAGACCCGGGGGATTTTACTGATAGTATTATGCTTACTGTGTCCTGGCAGATATATCAGACATACTCTCAACAGCAAGTCATAGAAAACCCAAAGCAAAATGGTTCAAATGGTAAGAAAATCTATGGTCTTTTGACAATTTATTTATTGGTTGACTGAGCCCTGAAAGTGTTGTCAAGGATCAATTTTTTTCCCCCTCTGCTCTGCTGCCCTTGGCATTGCTTCAACATAAGTTCACCTCCAATTCTCAGATGGCTGCCAGTAGCCACGAGCGCTGAATTTGTTGTTGTTCACATCCAATTGTTGCTCGTGTTCTGTCGGCTAAAATGGGCTTAGATCTAAGCCTGTGCCTAGTAAAGGGGGTGAGGCTGCCATGATTAGTTTAGGTTTATAATGTACAGTGGAGTAGATGAATGGGAGTGAGCCACAATGTACATCTGAGGCTGTCTCCTGGTTCACAAGGGCACACTTTGAACAGGGCTACACTATCTCATCTCCCAGCACTTCACTTGCCAAGACTGTCCAAGTTCTGCTCACTCCCCTGGTGAGCTAATCAGAGAGGACTTTCTCCTCCTTAGTGTGTCCCTGGAGGCTGCATCTCACCTGCCCCTGTGAGCTCCAGCCCCCTTGTGACGTGGACATGTGCGTGTAATGGTACCATTGGATCTAGGTTTTACTGTCTACCCGGTGCCATGAGATCCATTCAATTGCTCCCTCTTGACCAACATCACTATCTCAGCAAATTCTAACATTATATATATCTTACTTATCATCAGGGTAAAGGAACAATCTCCACATTGTAATGAAAGTAGATGCAGCTTCTCACCTTGTTCACTATGTAAGGAAATGCAGGGCAATTGAAGCCATGACAGGACCAAGGCTGGGGAAGAAAGAGGGGCTTCTCTGATTCCATACTGGGACTGCTGGGGCTGCAGCCCACTGTAGCTCATGGCAGAATGTTGGGGTCATACTCTCTGCGTTTTCTATGGTGGTAGGTAAAGGTCTTGTAAATTATCTCCCTTTTTCACTCAGTTCCTCTTTACTGGCCTTTGAGGGAGGAAAAGCGCAGTGTGAAGGGCATTAGAGTAAATGACCTGAATTTGAATCCATCTATCAATTCCCAGGTAAGTGATCTGTAGAAAGTCACTTTCAACTTCTCTAGACCTCAGTTTCTTCATATGTGTATTGGGGAGATTAATATCTACTCCATTCAGGTGTTGTAGTAAAAATGCAAACATGAAGAAGCTTCATCCAGTGCCTAACACATAACAGACTCTCAGTATATGTTACCATCTTTCCTACTAAACAGGCTCAGAGCAAGCATTTTAAAAATTAGTCACATATTGCCTAACATCACTTCAGTTCACAGTGGGCTACAAGATTATATTGCCTAGTGACATTGCTGTCTTTGTTTGTGTTAAGTGTAGATTATGATGTTCACTCGACGACAAAATTGCCTAGACACATTTCTCGGTGTGCCCTGTGCCGAAGTGATGTGTACCTGTACTTTTACCTTATATCTTCCAGTGACACTGTGTCTTTTCTTAATAATCAAACTCCCTCCTTTCCTTTTCCCCACCTCCAGTGCATACAAACTCATTCCTCACTCACACTCAGCTAGAAACACAAAAGTTTTGCAAAACAATACTTTCTATGCTCCACTGTAGCATATGCTGGTATTTTCTATTTCTTGTATTTAATTTTTTAAAAGCTCAGATATTTGTGATTTGCCATAGTGATGTCATAACCAACCAATGCATCATGAGCTATAATTTGAGAAAACATTTTTCTACCTGGCTTCTAGGATGAGCTTTCTAAAATACAATTATTTGCTTTAAAACGCTGAGGATAAAGTTCAAACTCTGTCCTGACTTCTAAGACCCACCAATACCTGGTCCTTTGATTACTGTAGCTTCATTTTTTCTCTACTCTCACTGGTTCATTTTCATTTTATAATCCGTCTTTATTTTCTGGACTCAGAATGTGTTCCTGAGCCTTTGCAAGTTGTGTTACCCTGTTCAGCTTGTCTTCCATACACTCACTTTTCATAGTTTGTTCCCACTTATTCTACCATCTCATTTTAGACTTTCTCTTGTCTCCTGAGGGCTTTCCCCAGTGCTTAGACTGTGCTCAGTAGCCCTCTAAATACCTCCTTAAATCCCTGGACTTCCACACTGGCAGAGTTTGTCATCCTGTATTGCAACAACAGCACTAAGAGCAGATTTTGTTCCTAATGATATACATAGTAGGCTTTCAGTAAATATTTGTTGAATAAATTAAACCTTTCCATTGGGTTCCCATCTCAAGTCTACTGAGTGGGTATACTTACATATTCTCAAACTGCTGGATATTTCGGTCTTTCTTTCTTTCTTTTTCTTCCTTCCTTCCCTCCTTTTCTTTCTTTCCTTTTTCTTTTTTTTTTGTACTAGGATTGAAACTAAGGCTTTTGCATTGAGCTACCTCCCAAGTCGTTTCATTATTTTTTGAGACAGGTCTCACTAAATTGCTAAATTGCCCAGGCTGGGCTGGACTTTGCAATTCTCCTGCCTCAGCCTGCTAGAGTGCTAGGATTATTACTCATGTATGCCACCATACTACTTTCAGATATTTGAGTTAACATCATTGCAACATGTTACAATATTATTAAAGGACAGATTTGGATGAACTGTCTATAAAGATAGAACATGTTGGCTGACTCAGTTTCTGGAGATTAGCTATGTATAAGGCAGTTCCAACAGTGGGTTCCAGATTCACTAGATCTCTCAAACTAGGACATAACCAGCATCTCCAGCTATCTATTTCTTCATCTGACTCTCAACACTCAAGCTATCATTTAACCTTGCATGCCTTCAATCTTTCCAAATTCAATTTCTATAATTAATGAGAATAATAGCATGCTTTTAGGACTCTCATGAGAAGCTAAGAAATTTTCAAATGCCAAACAGATTATTTTTTAACACTTATTACATACACACACATGCCTAGGATCAGGCTATGCCAACACCCCAAGTTCTATTGGTTAAGGAGGTAGGTAGGGTGGAGAACATGGGGAGGGACTGGTGATCCTGGAGGAACAAATTATAAATTCTTAGAATTTAGATCCGTAACATGGCCTGTGATATCGTGGCCTTTTATCCAGTTTCCTTAGAACTACCCTGTTCCTTTAAAACTAAAATCTTACTGTAACTTAATCTACAGTATCAGTTTTAGAGGATTTTTATGAACTTCTTATGGGGCAGAGGTAGCTTCATAATTGTGTTAGCATTATCAGATTGGCATCTGGTGGGTTTCCTATGGTAAGGAAGAATATTCAGCCCAAATTAAGGTTAAAACAGGTCATTCCTGAGATGTGTGTCTGCTAGATGTCTGACACTATTTGTTTATACACAGAGCTCTGGGAATTTACTGCAAATTAAAGGATACCTAGAGAATCATAAATTCCTATCTTCATTTCTTTCAGTTATGCCTATCAATTGGTGCAGCAAAATTTCTTCCTCTGAACGTGAAGAGGCCAGAAAATGCCTAAAGAATAAACCACACTGAGCATTTTGGGTATGTCATGACATCATGCTAACATAGAAATAAAAAGATGATTACTCTCAACTTAGATTGGCACATTCATAAACAGATTGTTTTCATGCTTACCTTGGTTACCTTACAAACTAATTTGGAAGTGGCAGAAGTTCATTAAGGAATAGAGACTCAGCAAGATAATGTAGATTGATAATAAGAAATGTAAATGCCTTGTAAAAGTTGCATGAAAAGATATAAACATTTTATTTACCTTTCACTCCATTTATTCATTTGGGATATAAAATATATCCTCCCATTGGGAGGGATACAATAGTGAAAAAGATAAATTCTGCCTCAAGGAGGTGATATTCTCTGCTGATAGCAGAGGTGGAAAAGAACAAGTAATTAAAGCAGCATTCCAGACATGGATGCATGCTATGAAGAATATAGTACAAATGATATAAAAGTGTCTAATATGGTGATCACTTATGTTGGACTGTAAGTATGGGTTCCAGAGCCCAAATGTCCATGTACAAATCCAGGATGTACAAGTTAATAGGTATATGAGGCTGGGCAAACTATTACCCTCTCTGTGCCTCAGTGTTCTGTGGAACAAGGTTCATAGTGGTACTTTCTTCATGTGGCTGTTGGATGAAATAAGTTAATGTGTGTAGAGCAGTTTGACCAACACTTGGCGCACACTATTTTTTCTTTATTTTCCTCCAAATAATTCACATTGAGCTAAATCTAAATATTAGGAAGGAGCTCAAACAAAGAATATGGAAAACTTAAAAGAACTGTACCAAAGAAAGAACAACTAGAGTGAGATATGGCAGTCTTCTTTATATTTCTGTGGTATACATTAATGAAAATACATGATGTTTAAACTGCAGCGACTGTCATGATCCATCTTCGCATTCGTCAGTGCTCTCGTTGCTCACGTTCTCACTGGTTTCTTCTTCACTCTCAGTGCTGCTGTCCTCTTCACTTTCTTCCTCGTCTTCCTCAAGATTCTGAGCTTCCTCTGCCACAGAAAGAAAGATAAATACTTAAAATGTCTCTTAATATTTCCACTCTTCAAAAATATCATAATTCTCCTGTCTATCCCTCTACCAAGAAATATATATTTTGGAAACAAAAGAATTGAGCTCAACTTTGCTAACTTATGAGGGTCAAAGTGGTAGGATAAGGAAGAAATACATTCTTTTTTTTTTTAAGAAATACATTCTTACAGGCCTGATGATATTTGTGGATTGAAACAGTTTAAAACATAGACCTATGAAAATCATTTTTACTATTGTTAATGAAATTCTGAAATGGAATAAGAGAAACAGAGACTTAGGGTAACTTAGAGGGTATTGGCTTTCCTTGAAATTAAGGGATAACACCTTTAACCTATGGGGGTGATTAGCATGTTCTGCTTTTTGGTACCTGATGTGTGGTACCCAGGGAATCTGCTTTGCCAGGCAATTGCACTCCATAGTGCGAGACGGTCATCTTCGTCATGCACAAGGACAAGCTGGTCTCACTAAACCATTAAGACAGCCATTTAGCTCCTTCTTAACCACTTCCTGAAGACACATTTTGACAATTTCCCAGGATAATAGGCTTTTAAAGACTGACTGCTCATAGTTCCATGAGAAGAAAGGAATTTCAATTTTTAAAATTACCCTTCAGCAACATTTCTTCAATAAGTAAGGAAAACTCCTTGGCCTCAGGATTTTCTGGTTCATAGATGAGGACTGAAAATGGACAAAAGAATGTGTTATTAATGCCCAAAGTGTTTCAGCAAACAGGTTCCTTAGAGTGAGATCGAAGCTGTCAATCAAAGCAGGTGAAAATGCACAAATAAACACCAATAATGATACCACAAACAGAAAATGCTCATTATATTTGGTGCTTTGTAAGAGAAATGATCTTCATTATATTTTCTGCCTCCCATCTAAAGACTGTTATCTCCATCACCTAGATATGGAGCCCTGTACAGGCCAGTAACCACAGTGATTCACGAATATAAAGAGGGAGAGATCCTGCGAATGTACTTTGGTAATGAGACTGGGTGCCTAGAGGTCTTCTAAGCACATCTCTACTAATGTTCCTTCTAATGTGTCTTTTAATTGCTCATCTCCTGCACCCAATCTCTACCTGATATCTTCACTCTAGGTGTCATCTACCTCAAAGGACCAGAGTTAGGGAAAACTGATGCCCTTTCTTTCTCTTCATCCTGACAACTTTTACCCTGGTCTATACCCAGTCATTGCCTGCTTAACAGTGTTCACTGTACCAACAGTTTTAGCACTATTTGTTCCTTTTTGTGGATCCTTTATGTGACTGTGTCATCTTCTCTTTGGATCACACTAGTAGAATTTTTTAGGCTTGTTGGTATGTTATCAATGTTCCAGAGGCCAGAGTTTCAGTTTGATTTCAGAGTTTTCTAGACCAATTTTAGTTTTTCAGATTTATCTCCACAGTTTGCTCTGTACCTTCTTCCTGTCTTGAGGTGTATTTGTCATTCTTTCTGGATCCATTTAATTTGACTCCTGCACAATATCATGGTGGCCCCCAGGGGGCACTGAAACATCAAGTGTGCTATTCATCTTGCTGAAAGTAAGAGAATTGTGGATGGTTCAAGGCTCCATTGACAGGAGGACTCTACCCATGGCTTTCATCCTGGCACAACAAACCAGTGACTTTATTTTCTAATCCACTAAAATAACCAATAACTTATTATCAACCTGGGTTAATGTGACTGTGTGCCTGCTCAAAAGTAGCTTTTAAGGCTCCTAGGTATTTTATACATCATTACACATAATATAAATTTTCTAATAAAAGTACCTTTTCATACATTTTAATGAACTAAAATATGCTTATCCTTAGTATAAACCTTTCTCTGAGGCTAAGCCTCTAGAGAAGAATTTCTCTCACTAGCTTCTTAGGATATGATTTTCTTAATATGCTTTTGGGATATTAGGTTAAATGAAGTTAATTAGGAAAAACACTAAAGAATAATCACAAGATTTTAGAAAATCATTTGTATATTCAAAACTATTATGAATCTTATTGAGCAGGATATGTGGTTTTCTAAATTTATTTGATAATGGAAACTATTTTGGTGGAGCACTTATTAAGAAATCCTTAACATCCCTTGGGATATAGTTTTAAAATTTTCATGATGTAAAGTACTCAGGCCAGCCCTTGTCACGTAGTAAATGCTGAATAAAGCTTGGTTATTATTAGATTTTCTAGAATGGTTCTTGGACTATATGTTTGGGTCCTTTCCAAGAATTCAGTGGGTGGTTTCTGCTGACTGCAGGGTGGGGTAGGGAAGTAGGGCATTCTGCTGCCTATGGGGCTCTAATGTTTCTCAGGCTGGGGCAAATATAGGGCAGAAAGTGCTTGTTTTATTCACTGTTGCTTTCCCAGTAGAGTGCCTGCCATATAGCGGAAGCCCCTGAAATATTAGAAGTAGAACAGATGAATATAGACAAATGAGTAGGAAACAGACTTTTAATCCCTAGACAAAATTATATTGTAGGCAAATAGGAAAACGTGAGTTTACTCAAAATGAGAAGGAACATTTTTTCTGAAGATATATCCGTATTTGCATTAGATCTATAATAATGAGAACCATTTTGGTTTTGAAGCCATTATTTTTTAATATTTACATGGTTAAAATTGATAACTTGGGTCTCCTAATGGCTCAGTGTGTTTCCATGTTGAGGTAGAATCTCAGGCTGCCTGTGAGCAGAAGCGTGGTGCCCTGAGGAATCTCAGCTGCAAGCTTCTGACTCACAGGTGAAGCAACCAGGAAACAGGAAGATGGATTGGCACAAAAATCCCATTCATTCATGAGATGAATAAAGAAAAGAACTGGGACTCTTGCCTTTCAGTACCATTTAAAAGCCATTTTCCCAGGGTGCCTGGCAGGAAACAGCACAGAGCAGAGATATAAGTTCTGTCAAGACAGGAGGAAAATGGCTGAGACAAGATTGAGACAATGTAAAAACTGTGTGTGGAAGACAGATAAAACTTAAGCCTATGCCAGGAAATGAAATTTCTTGGGGGAACCCAATACACGTTTTTTAAAAAGGCAAGCAAACAGAAAAAAAAGCCTGGGTGCCAGGTGGGATGTGGGATGCTCTACAGCCAAATTAAGATGTAAATGACTCTACTACAATTGGACCACAAGTAACCATCCCAGGAACCAGAGACTTTATGCAGGAAAATGAATATGTACAGCATTTCTGAGGCACAAGAATGCATGACTTTATATAAATTAATTACCTTAGACACAAAGAAATGTACTAGTTAATCATAGCAGCCACTGCTAGTCTGATTGATCCAAGCTATATTTATATTCTAAGTCTTTGCCAGAGAAATAAACTTGTGAATCAAATGAGGAAATACAGAAATTACAAGCTGTTAAATTAGATCTGGGCTATAATCCTACCTCTGAGTAGTTTTATGACTTTATATATGAATTAGTTCTCCTTGCTTAGCCTCAGTTTCTTCCTTGGTAAAGTGAAGTTAATGATGTCCACCTCACAGAATTTTTTGGTGGGGGGTAGTATGGATTGAACTTTACACCTTTACACTGAGCTACACCCCAGTCTGTTTTCAACTTTTTTTTTTATTCTGAGACAAGATCTTGCTAGATCAGTAAGTTGTCCAGGCTTAGCTTAAACTTGTGATCCTCTTAGCTCAGCTTCCCAGACTTCTGGGGTAATAAGTGTACACTGCCATGTCTAGCTATAGAATTGTTTTAAAATTAAACATTGATCTCATGAATGTTTCCCTAGTAGATACTTAATACATACCTATATAAATGCATAAACATAGAAATATATAATCTACACTTATAGACATCAGTAGTTATACATTTTTTTTTTTTGTACCAGGGATTAAACTCAGGATCTTGCTCTTGCTAGGCAGACGTGGCACCACTGAGCTAAATCCCCAGCCTCAGTAGTTATGCATTTGTATAGAGGAAGGAGTGTTACGCAGAGGAGTTAGAATATGGTACAATGGACAAGAATATCTAGGCCATAAACATTTATATATAAATCTTGGGGTTCCTGCTAGATAAGAAAAATTCATTTTGTATGTGGCTCTAAATACAGAAAGGGATTTGGGGTAGCCCTCAAACTTGTGTTGTTATGAACAGCAAAGAACAAATGCTTTTTTCTCCCTAAGAACCCTCCATTCTTCCTTGGCCTCACTTGGCATCGCAGAACCTAGGCCTTCCTGGCTTCAAACCTTTGGCTGAGAATCTGCCTCAGAGGAAGATATCCCACCTCCACCCCACCCCCATCTCTGAGCCTCTCACTCCACATTCCAATCAGTCCCCTGTCCCCCTTGGAAGCAGTGCTCTTTGCCAGTGGGAGCCCTGGATCCTGGCGTCTGTCTGGGAGCCTCCTCGGCTCCTTTTCCTATAATCCAGTCCTTAGTGTTAGAGGCACCACTACCTGACACTGACTGAAAAGCATGACCTGTGTACACAGGTGAATCAATAGGGGTAAGAACAGAATTATGTTTCAAGTCGGGCCCCAGGAGGGTTTAGAATGTGTACCTTGGTTCCTGCCTACTCTCCAGCTTCCAGCACAATGTCAGGAAAAGAGTAGGTGCTCAGTATGTATTTGTTGGAAGGAGAATAGGAAAGACAGCAGAAGAGAGGGAGGCAGAGGGGAGAGGCAGGACATTTTTAAAGGGATATAACCCCACGAAGATCAGTTTGAAGTTTTCATTCCCCTTGACCTGACATTGACTATGTACTCACCGGCTCCAGTCAGGCCAACAAGCATTTTATTGAGCACTTGCTGTGTATGTAGCTTTACTGCTTAGCTAATGGCTCAAATTGACTGACAGATATGGTGGTATCGGTGCATATATTTTGTAAGCTTCAGGCAGAGGCTTTCTAAAATGATGGGTACAGAAATGAAACATATATAAATATTTCTACAATGATGGCTCCATAAGAAATGCACAGAGACCTCCGAGTGACCAGTGAGCAGAAGGTGAGGACCTCAGCCGCAATGAGCGGGGCTCTGTCCTCCCCCGCCCTCCCGCCGCCTCCTGGCTGTGCCAGTTCCACACAACAGAGGCACAGGGGTTCATAAAGGCCATTGTCCTGAGCTCCAGAAGATAGAGAAGTGAACAACAGAAAGAGGGCCTCTCTCTGGCTCCTTAATGAAAATTGAAGACCACTGGAAAAGTGAAGAGAATCTCTGCAATAAAGGCACACCAGACCTTCATATTTGGTAAGTTGGAGGGATCATCACCTCCCATTGGAACCTGGACTATCTTAAGGGGAAAGGCAGCTGGAACCTGCAATAGAACCTTGCAGAGTTCAACCCTGCAGGAGGTCAGGGAGCTCAACTTGGGACTTGCAGCCAGAAACCTATCTGAATCTCCTGGGTCTGCTATTGGCTTGCTGAGACTCATTGACTTAGGTCTGCACACTGCTGCCACATTGTCTATTGTGACAGCAGAGACATACTGTGAAGGAGGCCCTTCATTTTTATTTTTTATTTGTTATTTTCAAAATTAGTTTTTTCTCTCTTATTTTTAATTTTTACTTTTTACTTTTTTTACTCTTTTTAATTTTTTCTTTTCTCTCTCTCTCTCTCTCGCTCTTTCTCTCTCTCTATCCTCTCACTCTAGTTCTTCATTTCCCTTTTTGTTCCTGTTCTGGCCCTAATTCAGATTTCTTTTTTCTTTTTCTTTTCTTCTCTTTTTCTTTCTC